ATTCACGATGTACTTACAAAAACATCCGCACACTACCTGCTGGATCTCCTCTCTGTTTCGAAGAACAAATGTGACCTAAGGTCTTCGCTCATTTACCAGCTTCACATTCCTTATTGCCGTACAAATACTGAAGGGCCTTTGCTATTGATGCCCCCAGGGTCTGGAATGCTATTGCCAATAGACTGCAACTTTAATCACTACCTGTGAGATCTTCACTCAACTGCTCTAGAGGAGTTGTACACCCCTAGATGCAACTGCAATTCAGTGGCCTAAAATACAATGTTTCGCTCCGGATGACCGCTGCAAAGTATGATCTGTGTTTTGATTTAGTGTGCTGATCTTAAGGGTGCATTGCAACATTTTGATACTCCCACTGATGCTCCTGCTGTTGTGGAGTGACTCATGCAGCCAGCTATGGCTACAGGGTTTGGTGGTACATGCTTGTTTATGTCGTTGATTGTGAAATTTCGGTCACAGTTCCTATGATCACTGTTACATTGCTTTTATGGCTTAATTTTGATTTCGAAAAGTTTTTTGATTTGGCCATGTTTGTTTGTTGTAGTACGGAGTTAAACGGATGGCTTTAATCTAAGTTGTCTTGTTGTTGTTGTTTGACTTGCATCCCACTGGGATTTTTGCACAGAGAGTTGGTGTAATGGTGGTTTTTCTGGAAGATTTTGCTGTTTTAACCTGGATTTTTCTGTTTGCGCATAGTCACAGTCACTTTAAGATGTTTTCTTGTTCATGTTTTTGTTTTTTGTTTGTTGCGGTTGCACCCGATTCAAGAGCCAAATGGCTCACAGGGCTATACCTAATAAATGAAACTGAAAACTGAAATTGTATACAGTAGATGGTGTGCAGTCGGTTGTGTACAGTGCCATTGCAGTGGTGTGTACAGTAGTGGTTGTACAGTGGGTTGTGTACAGTAGACCGTGTACAGTAGATGCGTACAGTGGGTCGTGTACAGTATATGCGTACAGTGGGTCGTGTACAGTATAGTGTGTACAGTAAGTGTACAGGGGCACAACTCTGGTTGGGGCTGTGAGGCAGCGTTCTGCGACGTGCAGGGACCCAGTCGGTCCACAAGGGGCCCCGAATCAACATACACAGAGTAACGACATGTGAAGAATGTTCATTCAGAAAAATATCTATCTATATATATAAAATCGCGAATCTGTCTGTCTGTGTGTGTGTCTGTGTGTCGCCGGACCATACGCAGTTTCATTAGACGGCGGTTGCCCCTGGCAACGGGTAGCGACGCCTTCGCCGCGGGGTGGACGCCATTTTTAATTCCCGTTAAAAATAGGCGCACGCATTAACACGCGACTCTGAGGTAAATTCATCAAAGTTTCACGTCCTCTTCACTCCCCCCCCCCCCCACCACAATGTGTGCAATTACTATTATAGGGTCGGTAGATTATAAAATTATAGCGATTAGACAGTATTATTGTAGCGCGGGGGGGGGGGGGGGGAACGGCACCCGTACCCAGCCTCAGCCGGGTGGGCAATTTAGGCGAGGCCGAAGGCTCTGCATGGTGCTAGGCCTCGACACCCACCACGCGACTCTGAGGTAAATTCATCAAAGTTTCACGTCCTCTAGAGAGTGGTGAGGGAGGGAGAGTGGTGAGGGAGGGAGAGTGGTGAGGGAGGGAGAGTGGTGAGGGAGGGAGAGTGGTGAGGGAGGGAGAGTGGTGAGGGAGGGAGAGTGCTGAGGGAGGGAGAGTGCTGAGGGAGGGAGAGTGGTGAGGGAGGGAGAGTGGTGAGGGAGGGAGAGTGGTGAGGGAGGGAGAGTGGTGAGGGAGGGAGAGTGGTGAGGGAGGGAGAGTGGTGAGGGAGGGACTCAGCCTCAAAACGAGTAACTGGTGTGGCATATTAACATCGCCACTGGGGAGACAAAGGCGGCCGGGCGTGGTGGATCCAAGTCCCGGGCGAAGCCGGGTAGTACAGCTAGTAGATACATAAAACATTAGCTGCGGTCTACCATGGTCCAAGCCCCCCCCCCCCCATCAAGCCACCTGGCTATGATAGCAATAGAAGCAGCAGCAGAGCAAATCCTAGGGGGACCGTCCATAAATTACGTCACGCACCTGGGGGGGGGGGGGGTCAGACATTTATGACGATGGGTGACGAGGGGGGGGGGGGTTTGAGAAATGTGACGTCACATCAAAATGATCAACTTTAAATAAATATAGACAACTCGTTCTACTTAATGAAATAGACTTTTTAATAAATGTTTTCTCCTACAACATCAGAGTGCAGCGCCACATTAAATACGCACTGCAATGACAATAGTTTAAAGCGATTTGAAGCATGTTTTTGTGGGGGGCAGGTGCAGAGCTTTGTGATGTCATATTTGAGGGGGGGGTCTGACTTTTTGTGACGCCGTGTGACGATTGGGGGGGGGGGGGGGGTCAAAAATCGTCCAAAATCGCGTGACGTCATTTATGGACGGCCCCTAGACCGATGGTGCCCGGCATGAAAGCAAGAACGCCCGATAACTTCATTGTGACTTGTGCCTTTACGTTTCATTAATACTGTCACTGGGAGACTGTCTTCCTCTAAACCCAATACGCGGGGCAACTGACACAACACTATATATCCTAACATTGTTTATGGGGTTAAACATATCATTGGTAGCTATTTCAGTGAAAGTGAGTCGGGAGAAATTAGGGGGGCCCACAGTCGGATCTTGCAGAGCTCCCCCAGTGTAAATAGGTATCTGCACCCCTGAGTTGATAGGACGTGTGATCTGCAGTGGTGAGACTGACTAGAGTGGTGTTAATTAACTATATAGTTTCGTGGTAAATATGTTTACAGCGCACCTGTCAACCCCTTGTCGGTGCCTACCTTTTTATTATTTCACGCTTTTATTTAACTCAGTCTGTTGTTCAAATCTTGTCACTCAATTTTAACCCACTTCCCAATGTGGTATCGACTGCAAACTTGGTATACATGTGTCATACTGATGACAATACTATATTCTATCATAAAAAATAAAAATAAACGTTTATTTTAAAACATTACTTTTATTTGTTATGTTTCGGCTTGGCTCTAATTGTCCACGCTCAACTAACGTTGGCTGTAAATCACCACGTGCCCCCTTACATTATGGCAAGCTTCGGGGCCACTTCCTGGAGTCGTGCAGTTCTTCCATTACTAGTACGGTACATTTCATTAAAGCGTGTTTAAAAAAAGTGTTTTCAAATGTTACTTTTACGGACCAATTCAGATCTTATTGGTCAGCCCGCGCCCCTTATAAATGTCAACGTTCATCCTACAAAGTCCCATCACAAGCGAGAAACACAAACAAATAGACAAAACACATTTTTTTGCCCGTATCGAAACGGCTGTACGCCGTATGGACCTGACAACTTAATTTTTCTGTACAAGAATACGGGGTAAGCCGTATGGGTTGACAGATATGATGCAGGCTTCTGTGATGCTCGTCGAGATAGGCTAAGCTCGTGCGAATATAGATAATTAATCTATAGAGATCTGTTGGTTTTTTTAAAATAAAATGAGCAGTGCTGCAAATGTGGAAATAGATGGCGTGCCGGACCTTCATGATTTAAATGACCGAAAGCTCATCATCAGCCTTGATATATCCACTGCTGGATGAACTAATTTAGTTTCCCGCACACCAGACGACCTCGTAGCTCAAATCTCTGTGGCCGATAACCATCTCGGGTATAAATGCAACCTCCGATGAGCGTCGTTGGCCACGTGCGGTGCGAAAGAAGTTCTACATACACACGATGCATGTGACCCTGCGTTAAGTTCTCCAATCCGTTCCTCTTTTCTCGCCGTCTCTCACTGTAATTCCAAGCCTGCTCCTCCGCACGATTTTCAGCCCTTCCGAGACGCTCCGAGTCTCTTTCCGGGGAGACCTGGAAGCGTCGATCGGTGCCACAGCTTGGGGCCAAAGGAAAGGCGATGGCAGGAGCTCATCCCTTGCATTGCCACTCTGTAACACATTCCTGCGGAGGGAGCTGGTAGGAGCGTTGGGTTGCTCGGTCAATGGCCTACAGGGTCAACGGCCGCGTGGTGTATTCCGCAAATATGCCCGACTGAGGGCGGGCACAAGCAGGCGTGAGTAGGTTAAACGTTGAGTTTTATAAGGGCACCACGGGGTGACCAGCCCCTCCCTACCCAGCTCCACCCCCCACCCAGCCCTTCCCTCCCACCCAGCCCCTCCCTGCACGACGGACGGACGGACACAATAATCCCCTGTGGGCTGGTGTAACCAAGTTTCTACCAGTATAATAGGTCGCATCAGCCTCAAATGAGTACCTGGTGCGGTGTGTAAACGTCGCCACTGGGGAGACAAAGGCGGCCGTGCGTGGTTGCTGGCCACCCACCCACCCGTGTCCTGTGCCGGCCTTCCGTAGGTGCTCGCTAACAGCACTTGCCCCAACCGTCTGTTATAGGCTATACGGGGGATCTTTGCCTTTGTTTTTATGTGGTGGTGATTTTACACAAGCATAGACTTTGCCCCGGCTGGAGTGAATGAATGTAACCTCGAGTGGCAATCCATGCCAGCCCTGCTTTATATCTGCAATATATCTCCTGGTGTGTGACTCCTTGTGCCTTAAGGTGCGGCTCTGGCAGCCGTTGCTTCTGTAAATTAAAATATTAAACTCAAAGTGGCTTCCTGTCCAAACGAGTGCGGTGTTCGGGGTCCTCATTTCCCGTGCACAGCCCCCAATCCAGGGTTTGGAAATTCCACATTACCATGGCACGCACGAATCTATGCACGTGACAACTGAGTGTCACGTGCATAGTGACGACCGCTGGGGAAGGGGATGACAGTTTTATTGACGCCGCAGAGGTGGAAAGGGCCGAGTTTAACTCCTGACCAGTATGTACGATTCCGTTCGTTCGGTCGTGAGTCACCACCACCACTCGCTCGCTCCTGGTGCCGACGGTTCGCTCCCGCCCCCTCCCCCCGGTTGCCGCAGCTCCGCGCGTCGGACCCACACACGAGCATCACACAGCGCGCGTTGCCTTAAATAAGTGGATTTAATAAATACTAACAAACGCGCCGACACTCCTAGCGGTATTTACACACACACGCCTATAAACACGACCGGCGACACCTGAAATGCGTGGCGTGTTCTCAACAACACAAATCGAAACGCGCTGCTGCTGCTGATGACACCCTACGCGCGCTCGAACTTGCACTCGACGGCAACCGCGTCGCTACCTCGGGGGATGCGCACGCACGCACGCGCACGCACGCGCACGCGGCCTTTCGGTAACGGACGGCCAACACACGCTGCCAAAGTCACTACTCGGGAACTTACTCAAACAACTTCACTCGAGGGCACCGAAGGCCGTCATGAGTGGCTTGAGATTGACGAGTGGACGGCGTGAAGCAAGCCGGTAGACAAGGAGGGGAGAGGGGGGAAGCCGGAGTTGGGTGGATCGAGTTGTCCGCTACGTGAAGACCACAGATCCTCACGTGCGCGTCAAAACCACAGATCCTCACGTGCGCGTGCGCCACGCGTCACCGTCCCGGCTGCCCCCCCCCCCCCGTGGTGAGAGCGCGAGGCCCAGGGCGACCGCCGCAAGAGGCCTCCGAATCGTGCGATCGAGCGCCAGCACGGTCGGGTCGCTACGGGCAGCACGCCCGGCCGTTACAAAACAAAAGCCACGCTTCATGCTAGTGCCCAGTGGACGTGCCGACGTTCGGCCAGCGTGGGCACGTGGTTGGAATTGTTGGATCAACGTCGGCCCAACGTTTCATGTTCACTGGGCGGTCGGGGGGGGGGGAGATCTGTTAAATTAAAGGATTACAGTTATTATTACCATCATCAGCACTACTACGGTATCGGTATAACTAGTATTGTTACCGTATTGTTACAGTATTATCATTATTATTACTACGGTATTATAGAAAAAACGTCAAGAATAAATCATCACAATATTCTCCAAACAGGTTAAAACTGAGATCTGCAGATGATGTCGTCTGTTGGTGACAGTCACGATCAGAGAGGGGTGAATGTGGATTCCGTTGATGGAGCTGGTGTTGGAATGCTGAGGAATGGAACCGAGGGGCCACCGAGCCTGGCCCGGCTCCCTCCGGCCCCCAGAGCCCCTCAGGGCCCCTCAGGGCCCATCGCCATCGGGGTCACTCAGGGTCACTCAGGGCCCCTCTGGGCCAGTGATGTCTGTACAGGTGTGGATGGCGCGTTCACTCATTTACGAAGCTCCAAAAGTGTCTGTACCCGTCTATCTGCGTCTCTCTTAATGTCGTTTTTTGTCTGTCTCGTGTGTCCACCCGCTCTGTCTCTATTTTTTTATTTGACCAGGAAAGGCCCACCGAGCTACGTAGCTCTTTTTCAGAAGCGACCTGGCCACAAATGATAGCTCAACCAAGTGGCTTATCACGTGGGAATTTATAGCAGCCAAATACTCTAAACGCACGTTTCTAAGTGGGAAGGGAAAAACCGGATGATCCGGAGAAAAATCCACACGATGACGGGGAGACCATGCAAACTCCAAATATACAGACGTCAAGATCGGGATCGAGCCCACGACCTCCTGTATACCAGGCGAGGTAGTTAACATCTCGCCACCACGGCACCCTTCTGTGTCCGTCTCTATGTAACCCCTCTCCCTACCCCGTGTGTCGAGATCGCTCCACCCAGCCCCGAGTCCAAGTGACGTGGAGGTCACCAACCACCGTGTCCGACGGATCCTCGCCCTACAACGCTATCATTTGTGGATCGGTCACGTGACTCAGATTAATTTCCTTCAACGACTCTCACTCCTTTACTATCGGTGGTCACGGACAGCTTCCGAATGCTCCCCATCTCACCCACTGTAACAATGAGACTGGCAGCCCCCACACTCTGCCCGGCAGCCTGGCTCGCCAACATCATTGTGGGCGAGACGCTACCGGGATCATCGGTGCCCTCACCCAGGTAGCGTAACGAGCGTGGGGGCACGGGGTGCCTTGCCCACGCCTCCTGGTGGCCAAAGGTACCAGTTGGGGGCCCCCTTGACAACCACCACGAGATGTTGTTTACGCTGTTGGGGGCCCCACCTAACCGGTTTGCAGCACCCCCTGAGCTGATGATGTAGTTACACCACTGCCCTCACCCTCTGGGATGGTGAGGCTCATCCTACCTCCCCCTCCTGCCCTCCTCCCAACACTCGCATTTGTCTCACCCCCCCCCACCCAACATCACGGATGTGAACTTCTAAAGTTGCCGACCTGCCTTTTGTCTGGGCCCATGCGCGTGTATACTTAGTGTGTGCATGTGTACTCAGTGTGTATGTGTGTGTGTGCTTAGCGTGTGAATGCGTAAGAGTGTGTGCAAATAAGTACATGAATAGCTGCTATAGTGAATAAACATGACGTGCTGGAGAGACAAAGGCGGCCCGGGCATAGTGCCATCTGCATGATGCCTTCAGAGGACTTGATTGGGGTGAAAGAAGGTGTGAACCAAGCTCAGAGAGAGGTCAATGTGCATGTGCGCATGTGTGTGTACGTGCGTGGTGGTTAGGTGTGTGTGCGTGTGTACTATTCATTGCGTGTGTGTGCTTTAGTGAAGTTTATTTTGTTTAACAAGGTGAGAACCAATGGGACCAGGAAAGTGACCTTTAGTATGTGTGTACATGTGCACGTATGAGGAGCGGTGGCTCAGTGGTTAGCACGCCGCGCTTCGAACCTGGCGACCCGAGTTCGATTCCCGCTCGTGGCCAACATCAGTGACGATTATCTAAACCGTTCCTGGGCCTTCCCCATGTGAACTCCGCCTTAAATGAGTACCTGGTGTGGTGTGTAAACATTGCCACTCGGGATACAAAGGCGGCCGGGCGTGGTGCTGGCCACCCATCGCCTTCATGTGCCATGTCGGCCTTCATAGGTGCTCGCTACCAGCACTTGCCCCAAGTCTGTTAAGGCTATACAGGGGATTTTTGTCTTGTGTGCGTGCATGTATACATGCATATGCGTGTGTGTGCGTTAGTGTGTGTGTGTCCGCTTCCCAGTAAATATGCCAACGTTGGTCCAACGTTCCAGAATTACTGGGTTGTCTGCGGATGTGAGTGCGCACGCGTGTGTTATCGCGTGCTCGTGATGACTCGCTCGTCCTTCGAGCGAGCGCCACGAGCAACTTTTGATGAGGGCGTTGCGAGAGGAGTGGCAGCGCAGTGGCGAGGCCGGAGAATCGGCTTCCCCCGAGCGCCGCCAAACAACTCCTCGCACGCGCGTGCGCGGTTGACATCGAGCAAAGGCAGTTTAGCGGCACGGCGCTGGCAAATACGAGTCGTGGTGGGGAGGCGGGGGAGGGGGGCCGGGGGAAGGGGGGCAGGAGAGGAGAGGGGGAGTGCCGGGGTGTGGACTGGAGAGGCGACGCTCGGCTAGAGGAAGGCGTTGGGATCGGCCTGCGGGTCCTTCATGTTCCTGAAGCGCCAGGTGAGCCACACGGTGACGATCTGCGTGGAGACAGAGACGATCGCAGCAGGTCACGACCTTGTGAGGCATTCAGCTCTTTGAGTAAATGTTTTTTTCCGGGTCGCTGGTAGATCCGGAGTGAGCCAAGAAGAACCGGATGTGACTACGTTAGCTACGGCCATAGCGAGGGGATATACTGGATGCTGTGTGCCGGGTGCAGAAATATTTCCAGGGTCAGCTGATTACACCGGCTTCTCAATATATTGAGTAGATGGTCTCAGCACCGGTCACAACAAAAAAATCCCATTCCATATCATGTGAATTTTCACTTAATTTGGCTACATTTCAGGCTCTGATGAATTAAAACACAACTATAAATATGTCAGGTTGGTGGAGGGTTGCTAATGACGCGGATTCACCTAAAGAATAAATTATGGAGAATTTAAAAAAATCGATCGGTCTGCCATGCGCGCGCCCTGTGACGTGTGAATAGAGGTCACGTGGGGGCAATCGGACGCTGACCGAGCCCAGGAGGACAGCGCCACCCGCTGGCGGTAAGCGGGGATTCACGTTAAGTTACAGGGCCCAAAGGGCCAAAAAACGCCAAGTGGCCAGAAACAAACAGCCAAGATTAAAGTTGTCATGGATAAGATTTGACGCGTTTCTTGAAGTGAGCAAAGTCATACGACCTTTGGAGAAGGAAGAAACAGGGGAGTGTTGTGGTGTTTGTTGAACAGGGTGGTGGTTGAACAGTGTGGTGGTGGTGGTTGAACAGTGTGGTGGTGGTTGAACAGTGTGGTGGTGGTGGTGGTGGTTGAACACATTGTGGTGGTGGTTGAACAGTGTGGTGGTGGTGGTTGTTGAACACAGTGTGCTGGTGGTTGAACAGTGTGGTGGTGGTGGTTGAACACGGTGTGGTGGTGGTGGTTGAACACCTGGTGGTGGTGGTTGAACACATGGTGGTGGTGGTTGAACAGTGTGGTGGTGGTTGAACACGGTGTGGTGGTGGTGGTTGAACACGGTGTGGTGGTGGTGGTTGAACAGTGTGGTGGTGGTGGTGGTTGAACACATTGTGATGGTGGTGGTTATACACAGTGTGGTGTATGAGACTGAGTACTCAACATGGGTGGAGGAACCAACGAGTGAAGATCATGGGACGAGTCACCATGATAGGATGGTGGGGGTGAGAATTGGGGTGTGGGGTTGAGTGCTGATGATCAGTGGCGGTGGTGAGTGGCGGTGGTGAGTGGCGGGGGTGAGTGGCGGTGGTAAGTGGCGGGGGTGAGTGGCGGTGGTGAGCGGCGGTGGTGAGCGGCGGTGATGAGCGGCGGTGGTGAGTGGCGGGGGTGAGTGGCGGTGGTGAGTGGTGGGGGTGAGCGGCGGTGGTAAATGGCGGTGGTGAGCGGCGGTGGTGAGTGGCGGTGGTGAGTGGCGGGGGTGAGTGGCGGTGGTGATTGGTGGGGGTGAGTGGCGGTGGTGAGCGGCGGTGGTGAGTGGCGGTGGTGAGTGGCGGGGGTGAGTGGCGGGGGTGAGCGGCGGTGGTAAATGGCGGTGGTGAGCGGCGGTGGTGAGTGGCGGGGGTGAGTGGCGGTGGTGAGCGGCGGTGGTGAGTGGCGGTGGTGAGCGGCGGTGGTGAGCGGCGGTGGTGAGCGGCGGTGGTGAGTGGCGGTGGTGAGCGGCGGTGGTGAGCGGGGTGGTGAGTGGCGGTGGTGAGTGGCGGTGGTGAGTGGTGGGGGTGAGAGGCGGGGGTGAGTGGCGGTGGTAAGCGGCGGTGGTGAGTGGCGGGGGTGAGTGGCGGTGGTGAGTGGCGGGGGTGAGTGGTGGTGGTGAGTGGCTGTGGTGAGTGGCGGGGTTGAGTGCTGATGATCAGTGGCGGTGGTGAGTGGCGGTGGTGAGTGGCGGTGGTGAGCGGCGGTGGTGAGCGGCGGTGGTGAGTGGCGGGGGTGAGTGGCGGTGGTGAGTGGCGGGGGTGAGTGGGGGTGGTGAGTGGCTGTGGTGAGTGGCGGGGTTGAGTGCTGATGATCAGTGGCGGTGGTGAGTGGCGGTGGTGAGTGGTGGTGGTGAGTGGCGGTGGTGAGCGGCGGTGGTGAGCGGCGGTGGTGGGCGGCGGTGGTGGGCGGCGGTGGTGAGTGGCGGTGGTGAGTGGCGGGGGTGAGCGGCGGTGGTGAGTGGCGGGGGTGAGTGGCGGGGGTGAGTGGCGGTGGTGAGTGGCGGTGGTGAGTGGCGGGGGTGAGTGGCGGTGGTGAGCGGCGGTGGTGAGCGGCGGTGGTGAGCGGCGATGGTGAGTGGCGGTGGTGAGCGGCGGGGGTGAGCGGCGGTGGTGAGCGGCGGTGGTGAGTGGCGGGGGCGAGTGGCGGTGGTGAGCGGCGGTGGTGAGCGGCGGTGGTGAGTGGCGGGGGTGAGTGGCGGGGGCGAGTGGCGGTGGTGAGCGGCGGTGGTGAGCGGCGGTGGTGAGCGGCGGTGGTGAGTGGCGGGGGTGAGTGGCGGTGGTGAGCGGCGGTGGTGAGTGGCGGGGGTGAGTGGTGGTGGTGAATGGTGGTGGTGCGTAGTGGTGGTGAGTGGCGGTGGTGAGTGGTGAGTGGCGGGGGTGAGTGGTGAGTGGTGAGGTGGCGAGTGGTGCGTAGTGGTGGCGGGTGGCGGGGGTGAGTGGCTGTGGTGAGCGGCGGGGGTGAGTGGTGGTGGTGAGTGGTGGTGGTGAATGGTGGTGGTGCGTAGTGGTGGTGAGTGGCGGTGGTGAGTGGTGAGTGGCGGGGGCGAGTGGTGAGTGGTGAGGTGGCGAGTGGTGCGTAGTGGTGGCGAGTGGCGGGGGTGAGTGGCTGTGGTGAGTGGCGGTGGTGAGTGGTGGTGAGTGGTGAGTGGTGAGGTGGTGCTGACCTCGGTGAAGGAGAAGAAGAGGCCCACGCCGCCCGCCACCTGCAGCACCTGCTCCGAGAAACTCTGCAAGACGTCCAGGCATGGAGAAGAGCCCTGTACCAAAGACAAAGATCCCCCATGTAGCCTTCCACAGACTGTTGGGGCAAGTGCTGTCAGCGAGCAACACCTTATGAAGGCCGGAACGGCACACGAAGGGGTGGGTGGCCAACACTACGCCTGGCTGCCTTTGTCTCCCCAGTAGTGATGTTTGCTACACACCGCACCAGGTTCTCATTTAAGTCGAACTAGGTAGGTCGTGAGCAGCAATCGAACCCGGGTGACTTGTAGTCGTTGCACACTGCGCTAACCACTGCGCCACCGCTCTCCAGCCCATACAAAAACACAATAACCAGCACCAGATCTCGGCACAAATGAAATCCTGATGCTAGCCACCACACACAGATGCCATTCGCCGGACAATCCAGGTGAAACCCCCAGATATGTGGCAACCCTAACCCCGACTACCCCCTAATTCCAGTCGAACCCCACCCAGGAGGTTTCTCCCTGTTAGGAGTCATCAGCGCGCCCGACCTTGGTGCAGTTAGTGGCCTGCGCGGTGTCGTTGAATCCGCAGCAGTGGAAGTGCGTCTGGATGTCGTTGCGCGTGGCGGGAGACGCGTTGTTCCAGCCGATGTGCAGCAGGTTTATCTGCGGAGGTCCACAGGGCACGCGCCACACAGTCAACAGGACACAGTGCTACTATATTTCACTATTCTTATAAATATATTTTACCAGGAAAGGCCCCGCTGAGCTATATAGCGCTCTTTCAGAAGCAAGCTGTCACAAATTAGTACTCAACTAAGTGGATTATCACGTGGAAATATATAGCAGCCAAATACTCTAAACGTGTTTTTAAATGTGGAGGGAAAAACCGGAGGACCCGGAGAAAAATCCATGCCGCCACGGGGAGAGAGACACGCAAATTCCAAATATACAGCAGCAGGCGTCGGGGTTGGAATTGAACTCAAGACCTCCCGTACACCAGACGAGGTAGTTAACATCTCGCCACCGTTTTTGCAAGGTGGTCGCCCAACCCAGCGTAATCCAGGCTCCAACCTGCTTAGCTTTTGAGATCTGACGAGGCTGGACATGTTCCGGGTGTTTTGATCGGAGTCTGTGCGATCTAACTCTCAATGGGGCCATCACGATCCACGTGTGGATGATCGCAAAGATACATTTTGTGGTGGATCGCAGGAGAAATTCCAACAAACAATGACGTCGCAAGTGTGCAGCAATTTTCTTTGCGGCCGATGGCAAAAATCGCCAATGAAAAATTCACGCAAAAAAAAACCTTCTACCAAGAGATGGCGCTAGTACTTTACGTGTCAAGTGTATGACATGCAAAAAAATACTCAATAACGTCTAACAAGAGATGGCGCTAGTACTTTACGTATCGAGTGTATGACGGGGTTAAATTCATCCGGGCACTTTGTTGGTCACGGCCTTTTGTGGTGGGCCGCGGACCAGCAGAATGGATCACGCTGCCACGCTGCCTGGTGGATTTCCTCCAGCCCAATGTTGATCCAAATCTTTCAAAAAATAAACTTCATCTGCCCGTCTATAAATCAGACAGCCACAGCACTTGCTTGGCTAACGTTCGTCATGCAGAGGTAAAGAAAGGGCTCTTTCTGTTAGAGAGCAGCCAGCGAGCCCTGGTATGGATTACGAGCTCTGCACGACCGATAACCACTGACCTCGTCCAAAAACAACAGTGACCGAAATGTTGTTTTCTGCGCGTTAATCTCATTGGTGCTTTGGTCATATCTAACTCATGTTACCATCCCCATAGAGTTTTCAGGGTTGAAAATAGCTTCGTGATATTAACCCTTTCCCATTCCGATGACGTACACATACGCCATCGGAAAGGCATTGGAAGAAAAACTCAAATAACTTCATGGGTACCGAGGCTCCCACAAGGCCATGTGGGAGTGCACGTGGCACAGTCTCATAGAGCGCGGTCGTGTCGCTACGGTTCTCTGCGGTGAATACAATGTCTTTAATAACAACGGTGCTAGGCCTCTCTAAATAAAATTAACGCTAACCGCTTGCGCGTCTCAGAATGGGATATGGTTCAGCACAACTCTCACCTGATGCGTCATCTAATACCATTATTCTCTGGACGACAAGAGGCACCTCCTCCCCTCTCTGTATGTAAGCCGATAGCTAGGGGTGCATCTTAAAGTCCGGTAGCTGCCCACGCGCAAGCGCGTGTGTGTGTGACCAGATGTGTATAACGCTATTGACGCCGGGCACAAGTTTGGGGTGCGTCTTACTCTCCGGAGCGTGTCGCTCTTCCAGACCCCGTGGTTGTTCTCTCACCCACCTGGTGGATGCGGTCGAGAGCCAGGCAGGCGCAGGAGACGCTCAGCTGCACGAGGAAGAGCACGATGAGGATGAGCATGTACTGATGAGGAGGACGAAGACGAGGAGGTGGAGGAGGAGTTAAGGGTGGCTGACACAGCTTCTTTGTCCAGGCCGTGACCACGCGCACACACACGGCGAGGACACATGGCCTCACTCTGGCAGGGCATCGATTGACGCATTTAAAATCGATTGTGGAGAAACATAGCGGCCACGAGTGGCTGGAGGGATTATTGGAGCCCCGCAATGTTTTGCTCACCGGTGGCGGAGAGGCCTCCTCGGCTCGAGGACGCTCTCGTTACGGGGTGTTTTGGTCTACTCTTCCACGATGGATACACATCCTGGAAGATGTGGCAGTACCCACACTTTACCCCACCACACGTGACCTGCTGGGTGGACAGAGGCGGTGAGTGTTGGGGGGGCATTTTTCTACTTTATTTTAGAAAACTCATATAAAACTTATACACTTTATTTATTTGTTTCTTTTCCATGACTTTCTTACCTTTTCCTCTATTTTGCACTCTTATTGTTTTTGTGTATTTTTGTTGTAACTTGCTACCCCGCCACTACTGGACATCTGTGAAAATAAAGAAATAAAAGATTCTGATTCTGAAAAAAATATTCTGATTCTGGATTTAAGAAACGTGAATCGCCGTCTCAATTGCCTGCCCTGGCCCCCGAGTTGCAATCGAACCGACGACCTCTAGATTGCAAGGTCAGCGTGCTGACCTAACAAGGGTGCGGACTCCCCCTGAGCCTCAGAATCGGTGGTGCTAAATCAATGGTTCGTAGCAACCCTAGTGGCCAGGCCAGTGAGATGCATGGTAGTTGCAGTCGTTGCCGTTCCATCTTCCAAGATGTCGGTGGCAACAGCGAAGCGAGGTACGCAGACTTTTGCTGTTGGCTGTTGACCACAGTTCGCGTGCGTCTCTGCTGGATAGACTGGTGGACGGGTGGTTGAGTGGGTGATTGGATGAGTGGTTTGGTGTGCAGTCGTGTGTGTGTGTGTGTATGGTGAAGTGGTCTCATATTTGGGTGGGTGGTTGAGTGAGTGTTTTTGAGTGGCTGGGTGGTTGAGTGGTCGGGTGGGTCTGTGAGTGTTTGGGTGAGTGTGTATGTTGAATTTCTTTCGCACCGTATGTAGCCAACCGTGCTAATCGGAGGTGCAGATGAGTGTTTGAGTTGATGAATGGGTGAGTGATGTGGTGTTTGGTTCAGTGGTCTAGTAGCTTGTCAGGGAGGTACAAAAAAACATTTTTTTTTTTATTTTACCAGGTAAGGCCCACTGAGCTATACAGATCTTTTTCAGAAACGACCTGGCCACAAATGATATCCCAATGAAGTGGTTTATCGTGTGGACAAATAAATGCATGTTTCTAAATGTTGAGTTAAAAACCAGAGGACCCAGGGAAAAATCCACATGACCACGGGGAGAACGTGAAAACTCCAAATATACAGGCATCGAGGTCAGGATCGAACCCACAGCCTCCTGTATACCAGGCGAGGTAGTTGTTAGTGGGGAGGGGGCCGTGGAAAGGATACGAAGAAGAGCAGGACCTGGTGGTGCCGCACCGCCGCCACGAGGCCCAGGATGGAGATGAGGAAGAGGAAGGAGCCCACGGCGATGACTCCACCGATGATCTGGATGCTGGACACCACTCCGATCCCCTTGGCGTATGCGGCCACGCAGATGAGAAGCAGCCCCACCACCTGCGCACAGTCCACCCACCGGCTCATCAACGTCGGCCGCGAGCCGCGATCGATCCGCTGCTGGAGGAAGGCCCTCCCCAAAGCCGTCGCGCCATCCTTCACGGCCGCGGCGATGCGACAGACCGCCCAGCCCCCGCACATCGGCCGGTCCCAACGCTCCATCTCCCGTACGCCCATCCTGCCCGATTTTTTTTTACCCAGGCGAAAACCCGCCAAGGTACACCGTCACCCGTGTCTCATCTCGTGCACGTGCGGCACTTTTTGCCGATCCACTGCTGGATGAGGGCTTCCCCCGCGCCACGCCGTGCGAGGTCGTGTGTGTTTTTATACCATACTTCACCACGCTGGGTCACTGCGGGTGAGTAAAGTGTAGGAGTGATATTTGGTGGGAGGCTATGGGTACACAGTGGTTCAGAGCATCAGTCTTCTTCATTACAGTATTTATATACTGTACAAAGACAAAGATCTCCCATATAGCCCATAACAGACTGTTGGGGCAAGTGCTGTAGTGAGTAGCCCCTATGAAGGCCCGCAAGGGTACACGAGAGAGTGGGTGGTGAGCCCGACGCCCGAGCGCCTTTGTCTCCCCAATGGGAATGATTTTACACACCGCACCAGGTACTCGTTTGAGGCTGAGTCGACCTAGGGGAGACCCAGTACCGGTTAAAATAATCGTCACTGGTGTAGGTGGCCGTGAGCGGGAATCGAACTCGGGTCGCAGGGTTCGTAGTGCAGCACGCTAACCGCTACACTGTAGGACACAGGGAAGAAGCCACGAGCACCACGTGGGAGGCTTGTACAGTGAAGGAGAAGTAATTTTTTTTAGGTTGTTTTTGGACGGAACGAAGTGAGTGGCCGGAGGGAACGGAGCATGCGTGCAAGTTGAACTTCTTTCAAGCTGTACGTAGCCGACCGCGCTAATCGGAGGTGCGGGAGAAGCACAAGAAACTAAAATAAACAACAAAAAGCCATTCTAAAGAAATGATTTTCTATCTAGATTTGAAAGTGGATTGTTCCAGTGGTTTCCTAACATCAAAAGGAAGAGCGTTCCAGACGGCCGCAGAAGCGCATCTGAGCAGAAATGGATGATAATAAACATGGTGGTTCATGGGGTTGGGAAAGTGTCGGAGCATCCGTAACGAATATGTTAAAGGCACGGTGAAGAGATTGCTCGACTAAAAATCAGGTCATGAATTCAAATATCGATTGGTAGTCGACTCAGCACATCATCCCTCCCAAGTCCGAGAAAGCGAGTACCGCTTAACGGAAACTCGATGATGGATTAACTGCCCCCCCTCCCCCCAAAACCTACGATAGGAACGTGGAATTTCTACCACTGATTCAGAGCCTCCAAAAAATGTATCACACCACCCAATGTCCATCGACGTTGGGAGACACCTTGTCCCGCCTGGCGCCCGAGTGCACGAGACGACGGGGATTTGTTTCTGTGAATTAGCGACTTAGTGAGACGATTCCAGCTAAGCAAGGGGTGCTTGCATCCTTAGTGAAACTATTATGGAGCAACTGTGAAGCGTTTGTTTGCGTAAACAAATTCTACTGTGAGATATTCCTTAATTCATTCGAGCTATTGCATAATCACCTGCAATAGGGAAAAACATGCGTCATGGCTTTGAGCTGACTGCGTACACAGAGAACTACAAACTAAACTCTTACAACTGAAATATTTTTTTATTTTGCCAGGTAAGGCCAACTGAACTATAAATACCTCTCTTTCAGAAGCGACTTGGATACAAATGATAGCTCAAAATCCGGAGGACCAGGAGAAAAATCCACACGTCCACGGGGAGAACATTAAAACTCCAAATATACAACAGGCATCAGGGTCGGGATCGAACCCACGACCTCCTGTATACCAGGCGAGGGAGTTAATATCTCATAGCCACCGCGGCGCCCCGCATTACAGGACATAACACACGGAGCAGGACATGATTTCGACTTGCCCGAGTCTCATCAGTAGAGTGTCGGCATGTAAACGTATGTTGTTGTTGTTGTGTGGTTGCCTGGCGTTGAATGCAAGAAAGCCACATGACTGCCGTGTCGCCATCAGGTGCAGTACAACCACATTGCACAACAAGGCAAATATGCGCTGTTGTGCTGGATCATGCAGGTTGATTCGTGCACGGCGTGTGTGGATGTGCGAGGAGCGGTGGCATAGTAGTTAGTGCAGTGCTGCGCTACGAATCGGGCTACCCAAGTACGATTCTTGTTCACGACCAATAACAGTGGTCCTGTGTGTTCCCTAGGTCGATTCAGCCCTAAATGAGCAAAGAACCTGGAGTGGTGTGTAATCTAGACATCAGCACTGGGACGACAAAGACGACTGGGCGTGGTGTTGACCACCCACCGCTTCGTGTGCCATGCCGACCTTCATGTGTGCTCGCTAAACAGCACTTGCCCCAACAGTCTGTTCACACGATATGGGGATATTTGTCTTTGTGTGTGTGTGGACAGTGGTTAACTGATACCCTGTTGTCGATTCTGCGTCGCAGATTCGTGTGCACATCTGAACCGGTCCCGCACCTCTCCTAGGTCGACTCGGCCCTAAATGAGTGCCTGTCGCAGTTTAAACATCAGCACTGATGAGGCAAAGGCGTCAGCTATGGTAGTGGACCCCCCCACCGTGTCCCACGCTTCTTCAATAGGTGCTCACGAACAGCACTTGACCCAACAGTACGTCCAGGCTACAGGGGGAGAGGGGGGGATTTGGGATCTGTGTCTTTGCGGGCGGCAGAGGGCACTGCAGCGAAACCTTCGCCCAGCTCCGCACTGGCCGGCGGTGGTGAAGTATGGCCAGATAAGGCCCACAGCCCCGCATGGCATCGGGGAGGCTCTCTTCATCCAGCAGCAGATTGGCAACAGGGGTTGTACACGTACACTGTCGGCGAATGCGCCGCCGCTGCAGGCAAACGTCTTGGCATTCCGACAACGCCTGCATGCCCCGTGTGTTTATTGCAGGAAGACAGGTAGTAGGTAGGTAAGGTAGCTTTACAAGCCAACCTTGCTCCAACCTTAACTCGTGACATGCTGCAATCTCTGCTACCGCGTGCACGCCCTTCCCCCGTCTCCGAGAGCCGTGACTCGTACAGAAAGCCCCCTCGCGAGCGAGCTCTTGATGAACGGACAGACAAGGAAGAGGTCTCCCCTCCATTACGTAACAGCAACAAAGCGAGCGACAACAATGTTAGTCGATGAATCATTGCGATTCCATTCAATCGTCGATCCTTTCATTGTGCCGCTTGTGCCGAATGTATCGCTGCACCGATCTGACAGCACGTGTCCACACCCTGTCAGTCTCAAGGAGGTTGTTTGAACATACTTCACCACTCTCATCAGCGTGGGTTGGTGAAACGGGGTGGAGGGTGCCCAGTATCGGTTCCGAAATTGCTCAACACCGATGTTAGCTGTGGTCGTGAATCGAACCCAGGTCAACAGGTTTGTAACGCAGTGTAAAAACTATAAACTATTTTTTTTATTTCACCAGGTAAGGCCCACTAAGCTATATAGCTCTTTATCAGAAGCGACCTTTGCCACAAATGATAGCTCAACGATAGTGGCTTATCACGTGGACATGCACAGCAGCCAAATACTCTAAGCGCGTGTCTCTAAATGTGAAGAGAAAAATCGGAGGACCCGGAGAGAAATCGACATGACCACTGGGAGAATATGCAACTTCAAATATACAGGCGTCTGGGTCGGGGTCAAACCCATAGCCTCCTGCATAGCAGGCGAGACCGGCAACATCTCGCCACCGTGGTGCCCTCATAGCTAACCCGCCCCAAACGCGTGTCGGATATAATCGTACACACGACTCGAGCGGAGGCATTGATTTTTAATGAATCCAATCGAGGCACCCTTGCATTTGCTAAAATAACATTATATTCCATCAGTTTTTGCCAGCTTATGAGACTGCTGATGAGACTCAAGAAAGGTCAAAACCGGTCCAGGGTCCGCTGCTTAAACACGTGATGCTGCAAAACGAGGCCCCAAGGCTGATGGGAACGAAAACTGAATTTGTGTTCTTAGCATTTTTTTTACGCAGAGTTTGACAACAAACCAAAACACGGACACCCGGAGACGCGGCTGTAATGCTACATTCTGTCAGACCAGGGGCGCCGCGGTGACGCGATGTTATTTCCAGTGCCGGATTAAGCTCATGCGGGCCCTGTAGCGTTACCTACGATAATCACCCAGAAATCTTGACTTAAAGCTTTCGTGGCTGCAGGAAATCATATTCTTTGGGTCTTTCCGTAAAGTCACGTAGATAGGTTCAAAGAAAATAACAGAAAATAATAAAAACTACGACGTTTCGATCGCAACACAAGCGTTCGTCATCAAAATGTGTGTAGCCCAAGGGTCATCAACGAACTGGGCGGGGATAGTGATGTTAATGTGAAAAATTAGAACGTTACATTAACATAACTATGTTTTCATTTGCTATACAGTCAGATAATACGATAAATCGCTAACCTTAAACACCCAGTCGTTCATAAACATTGAAGGCGGTATAGTACTCTAGTAATAGAGCAAGTGCAGAATCACTGAACCGGAATTGATAGCTTGAAAGCATTTAGCGCAGGGCCCTTGAAAGTGCGGGGCCCGTAGCATATGTAGCTACTTTTGCAACTAGGATAATCCGGCGCTGGTTATTTCCCTCGGCCAGTAAGCAGGGCCATGGGTTCGACCCCAGACCCTGACGATACCAATTCTATATTTGGAGTCTTGAGTGTTCTCTCTGCCCGTGGTCACGTGGATTTGTCTCTGGGCCCTTTGGGGTCTTTTTTTCCCCTCCACATTTAGAATCAACAGGCGTTTAGATTATTTGGCTGCTACGATAAATTCCAGCGTGTGATAAGCCACATCGATGAGATTTTATCATGTGGCCAGGTAGCCCGCGGGTCGTTTGGGTTATTGACCATACTTCACCGTCCCGGTTTGTGAAGGCGGGGAGCATAGATGTCGGCGCATCGAAGTATAGTACA